CTCGGGTAACCAGAGCCTTAACAATGCTGTGCCTATTGCCGTTCTCGTGTTTAGTCGTCCTCATACTCTCGTGAACGTCGTAATAATGATCGCTTGACTAACATATAGGTATCAATGCATCATCATATTATTATATATTATATAATATTGACATATTGTAATTTAACTAAGTATTGACAAACTATAGTACAACGCCATTTATGCATGTCTCAGCCGATAGGTATAAAACTTAGTGACGGCMAACTTGCAGTAGAATATCATTTCCTTGCATAGTAAGACTTCACGAAGRGACATGCGAATTTAAGATCTCTAACTTTAATATAATTTATCTATCTGTCGTTTTCAAATGTAAATTATATCTGGTTAACGAAAGGCATCGTATTATTTCAAAAACTAATAACGGTTTTGAAAATATTTTGTTCACATAATAGTAGGTACAATAAGCAACATATTTGAAAAAAATTATATTTTAAAATTTTTTATCTTCATTATTTTTTGAACGATAACATGCATTTTATTTGCATACTCCTAAGCAGAATATCATTCGGAGCRTTTCGATTTATAACATTTAAATTTTGGACGAGCAGGTAAATACGTAGGTATAAGTAGGTACCTAACCTCTGGTACCTATATAGGTATATTAAAATTAAAATTTGCGAAATGATGGGACAATTTGAATGGTGCCTTACCTACTCCACTCCGCTCATCGAAACTTTAAATACTCATAAGTATTACAACTCATAAACTACTTGTCAAGTATTTTATGTTATGCATTTTTTTTAAATCTGCCATTGCCATACATTTATATCGCATATCGAGATCGACAACAATATATMAAACCCACAAGAGAGCATTGTTTTAAATTTTCAAATTAATTTTAATTTCATATCGATTTTAAGTATTTGGAGTGGTTAATAAATGATACCTACATAGTTWAATACATACATAAAACTTATTTTATGTGATTTTTGTACAACTGGGATCACCAATTTATGGCCCGAGGACAAATTTTATTTGGCTTACGAACAAGAAAAAAAABTAAAACTCAAAACTCATAGTATTATTTGTTTTAGAATTGTAATTTATCATTTAAAAAAATTAAACAACTTCCAGATCTCTAATATAGCCCTTCAAAATTAATTGGCYATCCCTATTGTACAACATAGAATTATTCAATAACAATTATTAATGATAATACTATATTATATTTCAAGTGAAATGTTTTGTTCGTTTATAAACTGCAGTGTGACACGATGTTTTAGAGTATAATATTAATTGTGTACCCTCACGCCACTCGACGACAGTGTTTTTTTTGCATCTAGAGTCGTCAGTYAAGTAGCATCATTAATATTATTAGTTTTTTTGTTTTTTGATTGTCCATGTTTCTTTTTTTTCTACTCGTATAACCTTACGGGTATATGGAATTGAACTGTAACTTTTCATATACCTACGTGTATATTTTTTTATCCATATGAAACATAGTTATTTTTACGATCAATCTTAATGAGTAATGACTGATATATTGTGTGCGTTTTGCTTAGGTATATAATTTAATGTGGCCTGTGGCATTTGTATATCGTTCATATATCATATACATCGTATATGATACAMGGAATATTTTTGACTACTCGCACACTAAAAATTAAGCATCCATGTAATATCACCTATTTGATTACAACATTTGTAACATTTATACTTTATTATACTAATAAATAATTACATAATTATATTAATTTAATCATATAAGTGTGTATAATTACTGTGTATGTTGAACTAACGATCTTATATTGTATCATTAGCGGATCTGAAGAYAATTTGAGGAGGGGGCGAATTGGTATCATAGATTGATAGGCAATAACAAAGACGTAACCGAATACATGTGCACATTTCCGATTTTCATATTAAAAAAAAATACCTTTTTTGTACCATTTATTCATAAGTTTAATGTTATAGCTATGACTTATGAATTTCATATTCTTTTTATCATACGGTGCTATAGTTTAAATAAAACAATTTCCCTA